CTGGGTATGTAAAATGTTAGCCAAACTATCATCATTGTTCCAGCATGTGTCTTAAATAAAATGACCTCTACGTCATACTCAGGCTCAGTTCCAATTTATTAGCTTCTTCACATTTGGCGAATTTCAACACAAAACTACATTTTTCAGTCTACAAATACAACTCATTCTTCTCCAAATAATATCAACTTCCCCCATTCTTTGAGAGCTTTCTTTTTGTGTCTCCAAAGAGAAGTTAAGGCAGCACACTTTAGCTCTCGCTTTCTTTGGAAAGATGAAATTTGTTTGATAAGGCAATAAGCCATCGCAGAGTTCATTTAACACTCGCTCTCGCAAGGTGACTAGAAAGATATATTGCGAGCTTCGAAGTATGATTTTGGGGCACACCAACTTGTATGCCTTTTCTCAGCATTCGTTTTCATGCGTTGATCAATTCAAAGCTTTAACATACCAACTCGGGCAACCCCCGGGCATTTGAAGGTTTTTTCAAATTCCCACCCCCAGGTCAAAAATTATGCTTTAATGCCCCACCGAATTTTTTTGTGAAAGGAAAAATCAGCGGCCACGCTCTACACGTTGACCAAACTTTTAATCTAGACCTTTTTCTAGCAGCCATTCGCTTGCGAAAGTGAACTATATACTTTTAAAACCTCCCTGTTTAACGATATAACACTTGTATTCCGCTGGGAAGACTTGACTCCTCCGCTTCACATTCCCGAACTGCTGCGCACAAACGACGGTCAAATGCCCTTTGGTTGCCCAGGGGAATGTTGAGGCTTTGAACTGATTAGCGCATTACACCCGCTTTAATCTTTGGAGTGGTAAGTTACTGATTTTCATTTTAGTTGTCTTCAATTCAGGGTCTTCTGTATCTACCTTCAAAGGCTTCCAAGACAGTTGACCGACATTTACAGCTAAGCGTTCTAAGCAGCCAATTGAAATCTCCTGTTCGCCGCTCTGCGTGTAGTATCGAAAGCAGGCCGTTTGTTAATTTTTTGATTCTCATTCTTTTAAAACCTTCACCGCTCAAAACTCTTACCAAGCAGCCAGATTACCAAGCCAATTGAAGTTCGCGCTAAGCTAAAAAATTATGTCTTGGGTGCTTAAAGAGCACTTCATAAGTTGCCTAGGGGACCCCACAGCGGCAATAACGCAGGAAGAACTAGGAAAATTGAACGGTTGAACAACACATTAGGGAACAGAAATGAAAATGAGGGAAACCAGAAAGGAAATAACTCAGACAGAGCTGCGAAAATATAAAGGTTAAACAGTTCATTAGAGAACGCAAATGAAAACTGAATGATCATTAACACACAGTATTTTATTTGTTTCGCCTTCGATGTTTTTTTATCAACTAATCCCATCACCAAGCGGAGGCGTTTTGCTGTCTTTCTCCCAGCATCAAGCGATTGAAGAATCTGAAACCAAACATGAAAATAAATGAAATAATTAGACGACAATAACAGGTATCCAACGTATAACCGTCGCAACACTTGACTTCAAATATTCCTTTTCAGCAAACCATTATTCAAATGTCCTAATTTCTTCCACGTTGAACGCAGGTTATCCCCCACCCCTTCATTTATAGGATACTTTTTTTAAAGATAAACCGTAGATAAGCTGGGAAAAGTAAAAAAAACTAAATCGGCGGTCATAAAAATGTTACGCGTAAAACTTTTCTGTTAACCTAGACGAAAAGAAATTAATCATCAGCGGTTAAATGGCCAAAATTTCAGCCGTTAGCCGTGAAATTCATCACCTCTTTGAGACCCTCATGCTCCTGCACCTCCTGATGCAGGGCTTCGCTCCTTCGTATATGAGCCCCCTGATCGACTTCACTTAAGGTCGTGACCCACCCGTCCCATAAAAAATCCGACTTACACCCCTAAGTTGATGTCACAACAATTATATTTTAATGCACAAAAAACCGCTTTAATATGATTAATCTTCTAACCGAGATCAAAGAAGTTGAACCTCAGCCGATCGCCACCACATCCCTTGTAGTAAACGAGGTAGACACCTTCCTTTGGCCAACCACTTTTGGGATGAATGCAAAAGTTGTTTTTCAAATTCTTCATTGCATTATTGGGCGACACCCTGAAATCAAAGTTAATGCAAAATATTGAAAACTCATCATTATCATCATTTTATTTCCCATATAAACAATACAGAAAATTTAGCATTATAATTCATAGAAGGCGAGGAGACCCAGGAAACCATCGGCCTTATGGGAGAGGCCACCTCACTTATAATAACGTATTTAGATAAGAATGTGCGAATGTGCGGCTTGGCTAATTCAGTGATTATTTAAGTAAAGCCCTCTTTCATTTTCTTCTTAAAGCGAAGAAGATTTGACGAATGAGACTGAAACAGGAGGAGGGTTTCTTTTTTTTGGCACTTAATAGAGAATTTTAAATTACATGATAAGTGTGCGACACAAGTACATTCGATAATTACTAGCTGTTAATGTACCATAACAGTGAATTTGGCTATTTGTTACAAAAAGATTGAGAAGTAATGGGGGCAATTCGATATTTTTATAATAAAAAATGAAAAAAACCAAGTGAACGAAAGTGAAAATAAGGAAGTGAATTTCCTAGGGAGGGATGTACTCCCTTTTATATTGACTGCAGCAAAGGCTACCAAATGACTCGTGACTTGATATAATTTTTTACTTGGTACACTAAAGAGGTTATCGATTTAATGCTGATGTTTGTTCGTCTCTTCACCCCTTAAAATTTTTTAACTTTATTTATTTATTTTTATTTATCTAAAACGAGAAAGATGGAGTGACGATGGTGGACCGAGATGGCTACAAAAAACTGATGTATAAAGGCCTAGTCTGCCGGGCAGAGTGTAATCCATGAAATGGACCCAAAAAAGGTTACTGAACACACCTCTCGTGCTTGGAAATGTCCAGATCACATTTGTCCTTCAGCATAAGTTTTCTGCCATAAGTAGGGTTATTGCCTGTAGAGAACAAAGAATAGGCCAACCCAAATAAAGTAAAAGTTATAGAACGTTTCTCGTTTGTAATTGTTTGGTCTACAAGTAAACTATTCATTACTGTTCTAATCGTTCCTTTAAAATGAAAATGACAAAAATAATAACGATGATGATAAAGAAGATGATGACGTACTCACCGTAATACCTATTTCCTGATTGGTCGATGAGGTTATGCAAAGTAATTCGAGATTTGCGTCGCACCGTTCCTTTCAAATTTTATCTCATGACAAACAGTTTATAAAAATTTTGAATTTCTAAAATACTGAAATGGCATAAATGCTGGTCTGTCTGTCATAGTTATGGTATAAAATCACCAAGTCAGACAAAACCAAGGAGGATTTCCCACGCTGTTGCAGGCTATACCTGGCGGCAATAAAATGAGCCGATTTTTTGAAAATAGAATGAAGAGCTCGTGAATTTGTTTTAAAGGATTTCCAAACTTCTAGGATATCTGCCGTGTCCTTTATCACAAAGTGCAGTCGATGTCAAGCAATTTCCCATCCTAACTGATAGAAGTGAAATGAACAGCATCGCTCAGTGTCACGTTTATCAAATCATAGGATCAGTCGCATTGACGGGCGATAGAAATATGCAAAACTTTAATTAACAAAATTAGAGAAAAACAGTGACAGAATATTGAAAGCAAATAATCACCCTCAGGACAGATGACTTTCTTGCTGCACTTGTGATGGATAACTCCGTCCTCGTCCAGGATGAAAATCTGATCAATCGCATTACATGAAGTGCCTTCTTTTTTGGTTGCAATGAGGTAAGCGCCATC